CACACCAAACCATCCCAATGTGAGCATCTTACCGGCGCATCACCACCACTCCCCTCGAGGCAATTCTCGAAAGATTGCACATCAAAGAGCAAATACTCCGATTTGTGCACACTTTTTCTCATTGCGAGTCGTCGCAACTTGGAATGCTCTCCCAGCCGAGGTAGTTACAGCCCCCCTCAGTAGACTACTTTAAGAAGAGACTTGATAATCACGTACTCACATACGGACTATCATCTCCCTCTTGGATAAGCTGTTCATGATGCATACCTTGAGACCTGCTAGTTGTTACCATTGCCATCTCCTCAGATCAATCAATTAATCTATCTCGCCTATTATCTCTGTTTCCTCTCCCTTGCTTACTCTTCGGTCCTCTCTCACAATCCTCACTACCAATGAACAAACTAAATTCATCTATATATTACTCAGTTCTGAAATTTTATTAATATTATCATTTTAATTTTATCCTTATTACCCTTATTACTCTCCACATTGCAACTAACTGATCTCCGGTCTGGTAATGTGACGGCTGCTAGTATCCAGAAACCCTACTGCCCTGAAACAAACGTTTCATTCGAATCCCGAGACATACAAACTCACAACCAACTGCCAACTGACTAGAATTAGACAGTCGAGTGGCTAGACCTCCATCCATTGGACATTACCGAACACCTGGAACTGTACCGAAAGAACAGAAATCGAGCGCGAAGAAATCAAATCGGTTTACACTAGCTCGTGAAAAAGATATTGGATATTGGACTATGATCACCACTAAATATTCATTACTATCCCGTCAAATATTATAGAAATAAATCCATGGTCGAATATTTATTTGAAGGAGAATGTAGGCATAACATGGAGAGCAACAAATTATAAAAAATGGCAGCAACGCGTAAAAGGTACGTTGAGCGCAAGGAAGTGTTTTTGGAACAGTTAAACAAAACGAGTACAATAATAAATGTTTATTTTTCACCAATCGAGTTTTCTTCGTAGAAGTGTGTTCCACTATACATATTTCATCGGTTTGTCTACAAAATTTACTGGGATCGGTATCACTGTCTTCTTTCCTGGCAGTTGATTTTATATACATAGTCAATGATTTCATTTAGTGGAATATATATGAATAGAAAATGTCATGTCTAGTGATACGATGATTTATCTTTTATATTCATACTGTATTGTGATGACATCCACAAAATTAAATATGTCTTTAGCACTGTAATTTACCAAGTTCTGATGTATTAGTGCTAATAATTACTTCAAGACTATGAGTATGTCTTGTTGAGGAGTACTTCCCAGTACGAAACTTAGGTCAAAGGTGTATTGTCCCAATATCTTCAACTATCTAACATCAGTGTTTTAATATTCCCCAAGATAGTTTTGTTAATTAATGAATTAATTGCATAACGGGGTTGTGAAGATTAAGGCGTGACCAGTGAAGTTCAACCTGTTTGGGTGTAGACAGTAACTACCGAAGACTGTGTATGAGGTTGCGCAACTCCGTGAATTGCTCAAAGTTAGAGACATTAACACCATTAGATACCGGCTCAGTGGTCCAGAGGTTAAGCGTTCGTGCTCAAGACAAAAGGTCCTGGGTTCGAATCCTGCAGGGTGCAGGAGTCGTGCTTCAGTGCTTCCAGGTTTCTAATGGTGGTCTAACATTGATCGATTCATGGTTTCAAAATGTGTAAGTTAAACAATAGTAAGACATATAATTACAGTTAATATGTGTACTGTAAGATTACAATGAAGTGAGCCTAGAGAGACAATTACCCATTTATTACATAATAAAGTAAGTGACAATGATAGGTTCGTTATTTAATGAAACTTGACAATCTCTATGATTCTGTGATGAAAATCATAAAATATGCTCACAAGCGACTAAAATTTGATCAGGAAATTCTCGGAATTCTAGTGAGAAGTTGTGACCAATGGAGTTCAACCCTGTTGAGTGTAGAAAGTCACCTACAGAAGACACTGGGCGAGTTCGCGCACTACCTTGGATTGATCAAAGTTATACATTAACACCGTTGGATGCAGACTCAGTGATCTGCAGGTTAAGCGTTCTTGCACGAGACCGATGGTTCTAGCTAGGTCCAATTCGTGCGAGCGGGCATTGTGGGTGCACACTGCTGATTAGCTCCATACTAGGTCAAAACAGCCGTCCAGTACTGATGATGGTTTAACGACGACTGATTCATTACTTCAGTGTTGTTCGATAGTATTCCATTAATACTTTGAACTATGAACTCGATTATAAAGTTTCCAGATGTACAGAGTTGTTAGCATGACTGCGTTGCAGAGTTCTGGTTGACTCTTTTGTATCCAATCAGCACTAGTCAGTACCAGGGGAATATTATAGAATCCTCTCATGTAAAAACTATAAATATACTAACGTCTTTTCATTTTGATCTTCTGTCTTCCTTCAAACCTTGTTGCAGCAATATAATCTCTTTTCCAGTTCAACCGTGTTCTGATTTTGGAAAACGTCTCGAGTGAACTGGTGTCCAAGAATACTAAGCATTAGAAATAGCTGAGTTGTAATAATGAGAGAGAACTATAAACTTTTGTTTCCATCTATATACCAACAGTTATCTTCAATGTGAAATAAAGGTGTTTCCAAAAAATGTCAAATTGATGTGTATATTTAAACTTTATTACTAAAAGTAATAAATATCAACTTTTTTACTGAATTACTGATGTTTTAAAAATGATTTGAAAAAGCCTATTAAGATGAAAGATGACGGTCTCATGTGCTTTTATGGGTGTGAGGGCGGATGTAATTTCCCGGCTAATCACACCGTGGAAAGGTTCTGGTTGTCAGAAGGGGCATCGTTCTCCTGACTTCTGGAGGAACTCGGCTTTCATCATGAAACGTGATAATTCCTCTAATTGAAGACCTTCTAACTCCCACGGCAGAGTTTTTTTATTGTTAGCCTTTTTTTGGCAAGTAAGTTTTTTTCGGGATGGGGTCGCCAACTCACATCTCAACCCTCCTTCTTTACTCCGGCTTGGAACCCCACAGTAGCCCCAAAGAGCCTAAAGGCGGAGTTAATAATATAATACACTTGCCAGGATTTAATATTCAAAATGAAATTGCAAAGTTGCAGTGTAAAATCATCATTTTATGAAGTTAAATCAAGATATAAACTGAAATGGATATTATCGAAACCATTGAACAAGGAATGATCAGATAAAATCGTAACTTAGTAAGGTATTAGAACGATAAAAGGAATATAGTTTTTAATACGGTTTTCAAATTTCATCATCCTTAAATCTTAAAACATTGATTTCAACTGTAAGACCATAATAATATTATGAGGACAAAACTCCACTTGGAGCTCTTGTGGAGTTACTGTCGGTCACAAGCCCTGATAAAGGAAGAGTGTTGGGCATGAGATTAGCGATCCCATCCCGTAAAGAACTAACTTCCTGTAAAAACCCTAACCAGTAAAAACAAATCAAACCATTTGAAGTCTGCCCTGATAGTTGTAAGGTCTTTATTTCGAACAGTTATGATGCCTCATGATGAAAGCCGAGTTTATTCGGAAATCAGGAGGTGGCCGATGTCCATTTTGAGAACTAGAGCAACCATTCATTTAGGTACACTGAATGTTTGTACATTGTGGGAGATCGGGAGAGCCATTCAAGTTGCAACGGAAATGAAATGATACAAACTAGCGGTACTTGAAATCAATGAAACACACTGGACACAGGGTGGACAACAGAAACTACCTTCAGAGGAGATGCTGTCATAATCCTGCAATGAAGGAGAAAATACCTCACAAGATCAAGGACTTTCACCTAGTCTATCCAAACAAGCGGAAAAGGCACTGATAGGATGTGAATCTCATGGAACCAGGATTATGAAAGTCTCCTTCAAAGCAAAGAAAGAGGGGATTACAGTGAATGTCGTCCAGTACTATATACATGCCAACGATAACAGTAAGGACTATAAATATCAATTCTGAGAGAGGCCTCAGTCGGTCGTCTACAAAAGCCCGACAAGCTATTTGAACATTCTGATAGGAAACCGAAAAGCCAAGGGTTGCAATGGCCTACAGTGGATATGAGGATATCAAGGTACCGACAACATAGACTGGGAGAAAGAAATGAAAACAGTGAACTATTATTGTAGTGGTGACTTAACATGTTAGTAAAATTTGATTTACTTCTGAACTTTGTGAAACAACATGAAAAAAGCTTCCACAGATGACGACGATTCAGTCATCTGTAGATACTAGTTTAACCAATTTCTGATAAACTGGTTTGATACACGTCTTCTAATCTCAAAGTATTGTGTTGGTTTCTATTCTAAGTCACAGTTGCCCACTGTTTATTAGTCTTTTACTGCGATAAAATACCTGTAAATTGTTCACTGACTTTCAGCGATTAGTTTATGAAGTACAATACCTTTGAACTCGTTAAATTCTAAAAGTCACCTATGCTTACAAAGTATTCTCTACCTAATTTCTTCTTCTTCAAAAAAGAATAATTTCACTAGTTTTTGTAAAAAAGAAAACAATTGTTTGTTTGAATAATAAATATTGATATTCAACATAAAGAAAAGATATTTTTTTAATCTCATGACACTTCAGAAACTAGTTCATCCAATCGTAATTATTTCTATTGGTTTTTAGTTTTCTGTCTTGTCACGTGCACTTCACCATATACTACTACATTTGTATTCATTTCAAGCAAGTACTTATATGCGTTATTAACAATAATGAATAATAATTTTACTTTTAATAATTACCAATGATTATTGAACAAATATGTTCAATGTTTCAATGATTCATTTAATCATCATTTCATTTCTGCGTAGGCTTGTCAAACATTCCCATATAAAGTAATCATTGCCATTGAGAATACGAATACTATTCATGTACATTATATTACTATTATTATATAATATCATTTTAATTCAATGTATTGAATGTATTCCCAATGATGACGAATCAATACAGAATGTGAAAAATTCAAATTACCACCATGATTATTCAATGAATTCACATTTATTCAAACAATATCCATGTATTCAATTATCAAGGGATATTAAAAAATTAATTCAACAATCTGATTACATTCTAGCTGGACGTTTAAGAAATCATGATCAAAATCAGAATGCCTATGACACCTCTCATAATAATAATAATAATAAATATTTTAATATAACTGTTTTAATTAAAATCATTTATAAAACTTCTTATCCAATTGAAAATAATCTAATTACTATCGGTCCAATATTTATACCCGATGATCATCATCAACTTGGTACTGGATGTTTAACTGCATTTTATCCAAATGCGAAATATATATTTTTTCTACGAAAACATGATAAACTAACAAATTATTATGAACCATTAAGTGAAGTAATGGAATTCAATGAACAAATGGAAAAACAAATTTATGCATATTATTGTCATAATTGTGGTAAGTTGTGGTAAATATCATTGTGTATTTTGTATATATATATATATATATATATATATATATATATATATATATATATATATATACATTCGTCATGTTTTGTTATTCACTTACCTGTTTACGCCTGATGCGCCGAACGGAGTAGAGGCCACGGACCAGTAGTCTGTAACCTACTCTGTCCTGGGCTTTGCTTTTCCAGTTCTGTCCAATTTCTGTTCATTCTTCTCATGTCTGTCTCTTGTTCTCGGTGTAATGTGCTCTTTGGTCTTCCTCATCTCCGTTGATCATGAGGATTCCAGGCAAGGGCTTGTTTTGTGACGCAATTGGGTGCTTTCTTCAATGTGTCCTTTCCACTTCCACCGCTTCTTCCTGATTTCCTTCTCCGCTGTATTCTGGTTTGTTCTATCCCATATTAGGTTGTTGTTGATGATGGTATCTGGCCAATAGATCCAAAGTATTTTGCGTAGACAACTGTTAATAAACACTTGTATCTTGTAAAATGGTGGCTTTTATGGTTGTCCAAGTTTCCACCTCATTCAGTAGAATTGGCTTGATATTTGTATTGAAAATTCTGACTTTAGTGTTGGTTATTAGTTGTTTTGAGTTTCATATGTTCTGTTACGTTAGTATTAAAGAAACTGACAAGTATATGATTCAACAAACCATTTATATTTGTTTTGGAGGAAGGTTGTATATTATCCCATTTTGTTGATGTGTATAATTGAGATTGATTAGTCTTTCGTGAATTATATTCACTGGAGTGAATGTCTCAATAAAGAAATTTCAATTTCAAATGTTTTTTTATCTTATTTGAGTCTTAGTTATAATATTGAATGAAATTCAGGATGGATGTTTCGTCCTGATTTTTAGAATAAATTGAGACAACCAATTTCACAAGAGTTAAGTAAATATTCTTACTTATAGTAAATATTCCTAATTATTAGGCATCTTTTTGTTGTATGTTGTAAGATAAGTGTAAACCTGATGTCTTGCTAAGATATTTGGTACAATGAAAATTTCATTGAAATGAATGAATCAATCATTGTTGAACCGCAGTAAGAAACGCGGTAGCATGGGACTCATCAGGTCTCATCATCACTGAGTATCCGCGGCTCTCGCTCGTGGGAATCGAACCCAGGACATCCAGACCACTGATCCGGCATTCAAAATTGTTATCGTCTAACTTTAATCAAGCCACAGTGTAGCGCAACTTCACCCACTATTATTGACATTTAATACTTACTCCCCATATGGTTGAACTCCATCGATCTCCATAACTCTATAATGATAGTGTGGTGTGAGCTACTTATAAGTAGTATATGACGTGAGTGTCAACGTAATGTCTGGCAGCAGAAGATGGGGGAAGATCAAGAAAGGAAGAGTTAGAACACAATGGAATTTGTATACAACGCATGAATAGTAGTGACAATGGATTAATGTTTTGCAACAGGAACAGTCCAGTTCGATATGATGAACTGATATTTTTCAAATTAACGATTTACGATATGGTTTTCCGATTTTACTGAGTAACTCTGTAATTTTCATTAAATACAATCTGGTAGCCCTCACCTGTGTTCTCGTTCACTACAATAGGACAATCATAATTATATGAAAACTCTACATATATCATTATTTAAGTTATATGATCAAATATTCCATTTATATCCTGATTGCCACTAAAAACAGCAGTCAAAATGTTTACTTAAACGCACTCAATCATTCTGTCTAGATTGACACTTAACTTTCTTGAGTAATTTCTCCTTAAAAGTCAATCAAAGTGTATCATGTGAATTTTTTAATTTCCTGACCAAATTATCAAATAACAACTAGAGTATTTCATAAACGCGTAGAGAATTGGACAGTTAGTATGCTCTAGGACCGTGATAGTAACATAAGATCTCATTGAAGATGATTCCTGACATACTTTTCCAAACCAGTACAATCCTAAATACTTGGGATGGTAGATTTCAAATAGGAAAACCTCTTAGAGAAAGTGCAAAAAAATTGTACATTGAATATTATTCATTGATCACAATGAAAATGAATCAAGGCATAAAAAGTTATATATCCATCCATCTGATAATATTATGAATGAATTGACTTTACACATGTTCTACTATTCAATGTAAAATTTTAAGATTGTAGTCTTATTCTCTTTTTTCTCATAAGATTAACAGTGTCTACTGGTTATTAGTTACAAGTTAAAAAAAAACTCTATCACAGTCGAATATACTTTGATTTTCAAAGATCAATTAACTGGTATCACTACTGCGGAGTAAATGCGAAAATTAGAATTTCCTTTAATGCAAAATTTTTTTTATGGAGATTGGCGTTTTTACACACGTTTTTTTTTACACGCAACTGCCACTGATGAGTCCCATACCAGGACGAAACGGCCGTCCAATGCTTCTAGGTTTGTAATGATGGTCTAACAATAATTAATTAATTGATGATTTCAATGTGTGAAGTCATTAAATAATCATAATGGTAACAATTTATTACAAAATGTCGAATAATTACATTTCTCTTTAACAATACGTTGAATAAAAGTTACTTTTACTGAGATATTCACGATAGTGTCATTAATCGAACGATTTTATGAAAATAGAGTGAATTTAGATTTCAAAATATAATAACAATTTTTTTAATCAGTGATAATAACAAGTGCCCGATGCAACGAAAGGATATTTGGTTTCTGATTACTTGCGATTCAAAATATAGAATGATATGCTTGTTAACTGATATATTGAATACCATTACGAGTTCACCTTAGTCGGTAAACGAGAGAGAAGACAAGTGATCCAGTGGCACGATAGGCTACTCTAATCCGAGCATACCAATGACCTGATAACTAGATCAAAAAGTCTTAATATGGCGTAGAAAGTATATTCTACAAGCACTATGAAAATACGAGGTCAACAAGCACACAAACTGAGTATATTTGTACATGATAGAAACGTCCTTGGAAGAGTTACAAAAATAGCACACTAAAATAACATGTGAACCAATGATAGTCAAGGATTTTCCGGGTGGGAAATGTAATCTCAAGGTCAACTGATCAGCCCATATGCGAAAGCATAAAATTCAAAATTAGGACTTTTAGCAAGCGAGTTCTTCAGATCTACCGTCCCCAACATATGGAATAAGGAAAAAAGAACTTCAAGTGGTGTGTGCTACTTAAAATGTGGCTCATAAGTAGTAGGCGGTGGAAATGTAGTGGAATGTAGCCCTGAAGTTACTGCCAAAGTGAAGAGTGTCTGATTCGGGTTTTATGATGTGATCTAAGTGTTTTGACAACTAGAAGATACGTAGAAGGAGATAATCGTCAATAAATCGGTTATTTTGCGAATAGATGTTTAAAAACATAATGTGTAAACATTTTGTTAGTAAACTGTCGTCTACGTATTTGCAGAGAAAAACAGTCTATTCAACCCCATTTCTTACAATCAGTGAATTTAGCCCTTCAGCTTCAAGTTTTTGATCTTTTTATCATGGCTGATCTGTCTCCTTAATGTCGAATAAAGTTATGACAGCCTGTAACCAAATAAAAATTCACCAAACGAATGTGAACTTGTTTAAAAATGTTATATATACATGTATATTTTACAGTTTTAGTTAATAATAAAAAAAGATAGTTTATTCTAGCGCTTTGTATTCATAGCTAATTATATTAGTGAATGCATTTTTGTAACGTTTGTGTTGGGATAGTCAATCGAGAAGAAAGCCACGCATATTGTGGATTGATGAACTGTTTAATTATTGTTCATGATAAACTATTTCATTAATGATGAACTATATGATTAATGTTCATGATAAACTATTTGATTCAAGTTCAAAATAATTAACGACATTTATATAATTGTATAAATACGCATGTTTGATTGTATATTTTTGATTCTGACAATAAGCGTTCTCCAACGTCTTCCGTCTTCTTATTTTTGAACGGAGGGGTCTAACGTTCGGGTGTCATTAGTACAGTGGTTTGGCGTTACATCAAGTACAAAACATAAAAGTGGAGACGGAAAAAAACCATATCCACGAAACATAAAAGTTTGTAATAAAAAAATTGACAATCGATCTAGAGCATATGGTATGTCAACTTGAACAAATACACTTATGTGCTACGACTGACTAAATGACTCAAACTTCAATTTGTTAATGGGTCATTTTTGTGACCTTGATTTATTTAGTGTGTGACACCAGAAGGCACATTTTATCCTATTCATGACTCACAAGCTGAACGTATTTGCATCTCAGTATTGATATTCATATTGAAGGTCATGCTTAGTTTTTGACCAAAATTCTCTACTCCCTTCATGAATAACCAGGTTTTGCAGTCTATAGTAATTGCAACAACCTGCAAAGATTAAAAGGGAAATATCTATCAGTAGAATCCAAGACGCGTTTTATCCTGTTTGGGATTTGTCAATTAGATATATGTCCATTTCAGTGTTTATTGTTCATTCTAAGATCTCAGCCAGATTCAGTGGCTAAATAGATAGTGCGTTGGCGTTTGAAGCTGAAGATATCGGATATGAATCCCGATAAGAACATCAACTCTCTTGAAATCGAGTAAGATTCAGCTGGTGAGTCCCTAACAGCAAGTTACTCGATCCATGAAATTCACAACTGGCCACATATTCCATTTATTGTCTGTAAACTACTATCGTAATGGATTCATTGAGGCAATCTGTGTATAAATGCATAAGCACCAATCAAAAGTGATCAAAACTCAATCAAAAATATCAGTGACAGGACAACCCAGCTAACAACATATTAAATTGCCAAATACTGAAATGTTTTTTGAATATATGTAGTTCTACATCAGACGAATCAATTATAATAACGTTCATTAATGAAAAAAATACATAAAGATTATTATCATCATTACTATTACTATTATTATTATTATAACTTGAAACTAGATATCACTGATCTTGAGATAAATGAGATATTAATCAGTCTATGTAGTTATCATATAAAATTAGTGTGTATATAAT